AGAATCAATGCTACTTAAGGATAAAGATGTAATTAGAGAGGTTAACGGATTTCACTTAGCTCTAATTATGAATATGGAGGGTTGATCTATATGCAGTGACTATATCAAATGGACACTTCAAAGTTTAGAAGTAATTTATGTCTATAATTACGAGAGTACAATTCCAAATTTATAGTGGAGTAACTATTAGAATTAATAGAATTAATTAATTAATTAAAGTGTTTAATTAATTATTAATTTTATTGGAGCTCAAAATTATAGGTCCATAAGTCATCGCGTCATCCTTTTAATTCTACAAGACACTAAGGGCAAAATGAGAATTTTAGAATTATGAAATTCTAAAATAAAACACTCATGGATAATTAATTGAGAATTAATTATAAATTAAATAATGTGATTATTTAAGTATAAGTTTAATTTTGAAGTTTGAAACACACATGTAAAGGTGTTCACATAGTGTGAACGCATAGCATAGTGTGAATCCCTTTGGGATCTAAATTCCTTGCTCCTTATAGTTATCCAATTAACTTATTTGATAAGTTGTTCAATTTGAAATTCAAATTGATTTAAGTTTCACTTAAATTGGAATTTGAATTTCAATCAAAATTGTATTGTTGGATAAATGCAGAATCTTGCCGTAATCCCTTGTAGATATGCGCCTACCACAGGGAGGGGATATCTCTGTGGTAGCTGGCCCTATTAGATAAGGGAGAGAGGATATTCATTCAAAAATAAATTTAAAATGGGAGATAATTAACAAGCTTTATCTTGGAGATAAATATAAGACTCCTTCTGGGAGTCTGATTGTTACTCTATAAATAAGAGATTGTAGAAAATTATGAGGCACAATTTTTGGTTCTATTAAGTGTTAGTGGTCGAATTTATTATAGAGCGGGAAGGAAAAATTTTTCTCTAAAAACAAAATTCCATGTTGTGCATGTGTTGGTGTTCGTGGAAATCTTAAGTGCTCTTGCTAATCCTGTTTTATTTTAGGTGTGCCCACACACACATCTTCATAGATTCAATGAATTGACGAGGAAGATTCGGGTTTTCTAAACTAGCATTGGAGCGAGGAACGTTCGAGGTCAAAGAACACAAGTTATCATCCTAATCGATTGCTAGGTATAATTCCTAATCCGGTTCTGGGTAAATAAATTAATGTGATTAATTTATTCGTGCATAAATTAATATAATCTATTATCTCAAAGGTATTATGAAAAAAATATTATACACCATCCGCTACTCACATGCTTCCACATCCGAATCATTTCGGAAACCAACACGAGAGTGTCAGGAAAAATAGTGGGAGAAGTTAGACTTCTATTTAGAAATAATTGATACATTGTTTTAAACAATATTTATTTCCTTCAAGGCATAAAGAGAAATTTGATTTCTATATCCAAAATTATTGGAACAATCTTACAGAGTTGCTTTTAACAATAATTTAGTCCACATTTTTTAGAATGCTTCTGATATTTGTTCTAGTAATTTGGAAAACGGTCTATACCCATTAAACTAATGACTGACTCACTACTTAATGTTAAAATGTTCAAAGTTGCCGAACCTCATAATAAAAGCAAAAGATTTCTCACGAATAACACATATATGATGGCATCTTAGGATTGGTCACATTAACCTAGACATGATTAAAAGACTTGTAAAGGATGGTTTTTTGTGTGAACTAAAAGTTAGTAAGTTCCTAAGTCTGGAAATCTTGTTTGGACGGTGAGATGACCAAGAGACCTTTCTCGGCTAAAGGTGAGAGAGCCAAAGAACCTCTTGAGCTGATATATTCTAATGTATGTGGACCGTTAAACGTTCAAGCTAGAAGAGGTTGTGAATACTTCGTCACTTTCATTGATGACTATTTGAGATATGGTTATGTTTACCTAATGCAAAAGAAATCCAAAACTTTTAGAAATTTGACGAATTTTGACCTAAAGTTAAAAAATAATTAAATAAATCTGTCAAGACACTTCGATCGGATTAGGGTAGTGAATATCTAGATCAAGAGTTCCGAGATTACTTGACTGAGGAAGGAATACTGTCACAATTAACCTCACCAGGTATACCAAAATAGAACTGCGTTGCAGAAAAGAGAAATCAGTTTTTGCTTGACATGATAAGATTAATGTTAAGTTATTCCTCTCTACCTAGATCGTTCTGAAGTAAAGCCCTAAGAACTGCTGATTAGATTCTGAATAGGGTACCATGTAAGTTTGTGCCTAAGATGCCTCTAGAGTTGTGGTGAAGTCAAAAACTTAGTTTGAGACATATTCATATATAAGGTGCGCAACACATGTATTGAAGGCTAAGACTGGAAAGTTGGAACCATGATTGAAATGTACATATTCGTGGGATACCCACAAGGGACAAAGGAAGGTCTATTTTATAGCGCTAAAAAACATAAAGTGTTTGTGTTAACAAATACAATGTTTCTAGAGCATGACTATATGATAGATTTCAATCCCAGAAGTAAAATTTTTTTAGAAGAGTTACTTCCCGATAAGATTTGACCACAATCGACAAGAGTTGTCGAAGAGCATAGAAAAGAAACCACAACACCTGATTAGACTCCAGTGCATCAAATTGTAGTGGGAGGATAACAAGATTACCTGAACACTATAAGGATAGGCATGTTGTTAGTCAACAGAAACGAAAATAGACTTTTAAGTCAGTAATGGAGGACTCTAATAAGGAAAATGACAATAAGCTATGAAACTCGGATGGAATAGTGATGACTTGGAAAAGCTAGGCTTATGGCTAAGGGTTAGACCCAGAAAGAGAGAACATAATATAAAGATACTTTCTCGCCCACAGCCATGCTTGAGTCCATCCGAATATTTTTATCATTTGCAGTATACCTAGATTATGAAATTTAGCAATTGAATGTCAAGATGGCATTGGTGAATCACTGTCTTGAAGAAACTATTTCCATGATGCAGCCAAGGAGTTCATAATCAAAAGTTGATAACTGAAAGTCTGTGAAAAACTGCCAAAGATCATTTCATGACTTCTTAATCGTAGAACATCAGGTTTGATAAGGCTATTGAGTCCTATGGATTTGTTCAAAACCGAGATGTATTAAAGAAAAGAAAAGAAGATGTTTTTGTTCTTTACTAGCTTGAATATCTGATATTCAGTGAGAGTGACCAGTCGTTGTCAGTTGAACTCAAGATTGGATCATTGGGTAACGATGTATTATATCCTTAAGTGTAGGAGGAAAGCAAAAAACTATAAGATAGTTTAATTAGTGAAAGAGTTATCTCACTAGATGCACAAACTCTAACTATGAGTCATGTATGGATTTTGAGAGTCGACATCTAGATCTGTGTAACAGAAGATTTATGCCGTGTAATAGAAATTATTATATTTATTTTGATAGAATAAATTAATGTACTCTAAAGTGTATTGCTCTAAAAGTAATTTTTTTTATACACAATCTATACTAATTCGCTTACATAGATTTTTCTATCTAAAACCATGGCTTTCATATATGAGTTGTTGTGTAGAAAAACACTATTGCCTCGTAACAATATATGGATGAGAAAATAACCGACCGATCCCAACCAAGGTAATAAATGCACATTGGATATCCAATCCTCATTAGATTGGACTAGATTGAAATTATAAACCCAATCGGCTTAGATTCGTTTCGGTTTTTGAATGCCAAAATTTAATTACCCCATTAAATCTAATCTAATCTAATGTATGACATAAATTTTTAAACATAGTTTATTATTTTAATGTGTTTATACTTTTTTAATTAGTTTCTATGAATAATTGTTGGGTTTCAAATATGTAAGGGTACTATTTGCATCCTGAATTTTTATGGTTTAGCAACTTGTTTCTAAACTTGTATGGTTTAACAATTTGTCCACCTGAATTTTAATTTTAGCAAGTTACCTCTTAAATTTTTAAAATTATTGCAATATGTATAATTTTGACTATGATTGTGTTAAATTAGTGTCAAAAAATCAAGTTTGACGAAAAATTCTAAATCTAAATTCTAATGTAACACAAATCTTTTAATTTTTTAATTTTTAATCCTTTAAATCTAACAAAAAATTTTAATCAAATTTCACAAAATATAGCATATTATAATAATTTTATAAGTTTGAGAAATTTAAAAGTCAAAATTAAAAATTTATAGGCTATTTATTAAATCACAACAAATTCAAGAAGCAATTGCGTTAAAAACTCCATATGTAAACTATAAATTGGAATAATAATAATAAAAAAAAGAATCTACTCCAATACAATGCAATCTAATACCGCACATGATTGAATTGAACATTATGGGCCATTTTAGTTCGCTGATTCAAATTTTTAATTCGAGTTGAGATGTAACTTTATGTGAGAGCATTTTACTGTAGTAAAAAAGTTAAATATGACTATTTATAAGAGCTTTTTACTGTAATAAAACTTAAATTTTAAACTCGAATTGATGAAGTTAACAGGGCTATGAGTATCGAATTGTATCGAAAGTTGACACTTAACAAACACTTGTTTCCTATATTCATCATTGATTTTGAATCATAATTCACGATTCTCTACAGTATTTTTCTCTCATAAAAAATATACATAAAATAAAAATAATTTTAAATCATAATTCTAAATTTATGAACTAAACATCATCTTAGAGTTTGTCCTTAAGTAAATCCTTGATGTGCTGCCGATATTCTCAAAATTCAAAACAGTGATTACAAAACAAACCATGGTTAGCTGAGGATCTATATCCAATATCCATCACTCACTAGCCACTAGCTCAGCTTAGCTTAATAAGCTAAGCTTACTAAGCTTTCTATCTTCCGTACAAAACACTGACGCGTGTCCCCATCTTCGTCGTCCTCTGAACAACGCGGTTTCTTCCTCTCTGCCCAAAAAAAAAAAAAAAAAAAAAAATCCCACACTCTCTCTCCTCTGTCTACTATCTATCTATCTATCTCTCCACCGTCCTATATAATCCCCCTCACCTTCATCCTCGTCTCTCCCATTTCATTTCTCTTCTTCTCTGCTCTTTCTTCCCTCTAAATCCATTTCATCGTTCTCCCATCTCATCACTTCTCACCCCAAATTCATTGAAAATTCCGAAATGCTCTGATTATTCCAAATTTGTTTTTTAAACTCTCTTTTCCTTTTGTGAGTGCTTATATACATATCTATTGTCTTTCGGTGTTTTGTATTTATAAGACGTGATCAGATTAAAGAAAAATGGCTTCGTCGGAGAACTTGGCCAGTATCGATCCATGGGCCTTCAGGCCCACTTTCAGCGACTGTTGGCTCTCCGAGCTCTTCGCTCGTGACACTGAAACCCTAACCAAAGCCCTCCAGAAATCTCTCGAACCGGTCGTCGCTCCTTCCTCCGACTCCGACATCTTCCGGACTGAACAGGTTCAGACCCCGACTCCGACCGTCTCCGGCCTCTCCGGCTCGGATCCCGACACGCCGTCTTCCGCCGCCGCCTCTACGAAACGACACCGCCTCGCGATTCCTCCGAAGGTGTCGAAGAGGAAGTCCCGCGCGACGAAGCGTTCGCAGACGACGTTCATCACGGCCGACCCGGCCAACTTCCGCCAGATGGTGCAGCAGGTCACCGGCGTCAGATTTCGCGGCGTGGCGGCGCAGTTCGGCTCGGCGGCGGCGCCGATCCTCAAGCCGGAGCCGCAGAGGGCCTGCGGCGCTAGGTTTCCCGTCGCTGGCGCGTGCCTCCCGACGCTCGACACGTCGGCGCTGCTTCTGGACCATCACAGCAGCCATCAGAGCCAGCAGGGCCATCCGGTGGGGTCCACGACGGCGATGGCGTCGCTCGTCGGCGCCGGTAGTGGCTCGGCGCCGACGATGGTGTCTTCTTTTGTCGAAGCTGGAAGCGGTGGTTTGGACTTCGACGCTTTTCCGAGCTTTCCCACTCTGGAATCTTGGAAAGTGATGTGATGGATGATTTTCTCTGTTTTTTTTTGGAAGCTAATTTTATGAATATGTTTTTTTTTTTTTGGGAAGGGAGAGGAAGGAAATTACTGTTTTCTAATACTAAATTAGAGGATATATCGTGTTGGGGGTTAAAGAGGATGCGTGCAATGGGATCTTTGTTTATATTTTTGGTGGAAAATTTCTTTTATATAATTTCTTCTTTTTTCTCTTTTTGTTAGTAGCGGCGGCGGTGGTGTATTTTTGATTTTGTATGGTAATCAGTTTCACTTGTTTAAGCACTAAACAAATTGGTTATCCTCTTTTTTCTCTGTTTTTTTATTTTTATTTTTAAAAAGAAGTAAATGAAGAACTCTGATAGGATTTGTTATGGTTAAAAATATCGAAAAATAAACTAATCATATTGTTGTTTCATAGTTTGGTTCGATTTGAGTCGGTTTGATAACGAAGAAAAGAAATAATAAAGGTTATTTTGTTAGTGACAAAGAAGGGAGATATTTGTGTGCTTTTTTCTTTTTTTTTTTTTTTTTTTTTTTAAATTTTCACTCAAAATCTCCGAGGACCAAAAAATGCATTTTCCTCCAAGTTTTTGCATTATGATGATAAAAGCTATAAGGCCGAGTCTTGTTACGGAACGACGAGAACATGTTGTCCTCGAAGTGTTGTAAACGGCAGGCTATTTAATGGTATTTGCTCCTGTGTCCCTCGTTACACAACACAAGTGGGGTTCGACGACACGTTTTTGCAGCTGAGTTCATTTTTGTTCAAAATCATTAATGTTAGGGTCATTTTTCATTTCATAATTTAAATTTTATTACAATTAAAATTTTTTTAAAAACAATCACATTTAATTTTTTTTATTATTATAAAAAATTTTCACGTTATATCTAAACTTGAATAAAATATCACTCTTTTTATTTTTTTTTATTTTTTTTCTTGTCACTTGTCTGTTTATTTTCTCAAAAATAAAATAAAATTCTAAACCATCCATCTACCATTTATTACAACTATGCCATTGGATGAAACTTTCTAATTTAAGAGCACATATTTGATTACAACTATACTTGCGTAGTATTTTTCATTCTCATTTATTTTGCTCTCATCAGAATATCAAACTTATATTGGGACCCCAAAAAATAAAGTCCACAATTGTGGGAAAAAAAGATTATAACGTTAGAAATTTTAGTTATATAATAAATTGGTAACAAAAATGGGTATCTGTCTTGGGAATAATAATTTGTTAAAAGGATAAACGAATTTAGCAAAAAAGAAAATAAATGAGGTTATAGTGCACTGCTTCAACAATCACCTCACATGCAGGCTCCAGTATTCACAAACATCACATATTATGTTTTCAAAGATGAATAAAAAAAAAAAAAGAATGTTTTAAGAAAAAAGAAAATAAGAAAAAAAAAAAGAATAGAATGGCATTGTTGTAATAAAAGGGGATCAGTTTTTGGTTTGATTTGTTATGAGAAAATGAAGAGATAAGTGGCAAAATGAGAAGGTAGAGAGTAAAAAAGAGAGTGGTATTTAAAGTGACTTAAGTATTTCTCTTTCTAAAAATATAATTCAATTGCTTTATCATATAATAATATAATTCCTTAAATTTCACTGTCCCTTTTCCTTCTTGAGATAGCCTCGCTATCAAAGGCAGCTAAAAGCACTACCTTGATTTGGTTGTGGTGTTCTTTAGCGAGGGAGTGTTGAAAAATTGGATACGTTTTCTTTTTATATCTATATATATGATACTTGTGTCACTGAAAATGTTGACAATGAATGCTTTTTTTAGATTCCATCTCAACAATTGGCGGTAAAAGTGCACAAAGATTACAAATATGTTATTGGAAGATCTAACATAAGTTGTAATATGCATTGGTATCAAAGTGTCACATGACATGATGTATATATATTATTAAGGTGGTTCTATGATTTGTCTTCCAATAGTAACCTTAGGGTACCATTATTTTACTGCAAATGGTAATATATAATAATGTATAATTTATTTAGAACAATTACAATTTTGAACGGTTTTTTTTTTTCCTATATATATATATGTATATATATGAATCGCTTATATCTAGTATGTCTAGACTGCAATGCTTTTTTTTTTTTTTTTTTGGGCTGTAGGGGTGACCTGAATAATATTAGCGCTTAATAGTAGTAACACTTCTTGTCGATTCCTGCTATTGTGGGTATGGGACCATTTCTCTTTGGAGAAAAAAAAAAAAAAAGAATCCTAAATTCAATTTAGCTAACTTTTCCTTGTTTTTTCTTTATAAATTTTTTTTTTTCCAAAATTTTGAAATGCCCCCAGAAGTATGAGGAAAGATGGGCTAGTCAGATTAGGCTAGACCAAAATTAACGTTATAATATTTTATATGGAATAATTTAGTTGCGCATAAAAAGAAATAAATAATATTAAGGCACCTATCAATCTATCATTTTCACAAAGAGATGCTTTTGATAAAAAGGCTATCTGAAACATTATCTTCACACTCGACTAGTTTGAATTTGGTGCACACAAATTAAACTATAAGAATTTTCCACACTGGCCGTTTCTTTGTGGCAAAATTTGGAACCAGAGAAAATTCCACCAGAAAAATAGAAAGCTAAATACATGTGATCATGAAAGATAAATCTGTCTGGCTATTAGACCACATAGATTTTCTCCGCATTTGACAGGAGTTGCAATCTGTTTTTGTTATTGCTATTTTTCGGCCTTTCAAGTATCATTAACATCACTTTTCCCCCCCTCGAATTTTGCATGGAATTTCTCTTGATCATATTGTATGACTTTTGTAATATGATAATCCGCATCATATTGTATCATTATATAAATATACATATATATATATATATAGTTTTCAATTTTTTTTATTTTTTTTGTTTTTCTTAAAGACGAGTTTTCAATGGTTATATTTTTATTATTGATTATCTCTTAAATATAGAAATTTGATGACAATGTGGCGTGATATATTTGTATATGTATACTTATATATTTGTAATAGTTGGCAAACGAATTTTTATAAATAGGGTATGTTTCAGAAAAAAAAAAGAAGCCTTTGTAAATAGAACATTCTTGTTCAAAGGATGTAATTCATGGCGAGCAAACTTCGTTGACTTGGTTAATGACTTGTTTGCTTCTGAAAGTTCAACCATATACTCTTCTTTAACAAAATTTGTGATTTACAAGTCACTTATTAAACATTATCTTCGAATAAAAAAGAGAATAAAATCCTAAGTGATCTAGGAATTGGGTAGCTCATGCTTCATTTTGAAAATTAAAAATCGTTAATATTGAATATTTCTTGTTCAACAAATTACTATTTATAAGTTCAAAGGGTTCTAAGCGTTTACTCAAGTCAAAAGGTACAACTAAAAAATGAATATTTTGATTAAATCAACAATGTGTTAGGTGATTAGCAGCACATATATAAATATATTCGCTGACTTGGTTCCATTTTTTTATTCCCCATGTATTGGTAGTTTCGAAGAGGTAATTGAGAAATGGGAAATTCAGTAAATAATTGAACCAACTTGATTCAACAGAATACTATTCTTGTTATAAGATTTTGGAGAGATTAACCAAAATACACGAACGTTAAAAGGGGTTTTGACTAATCAAGGAGCACAATATATGGCTCAATCAATTGCCCAACGGCTTTGCAAGATGAATTGTGTGGATTGGTCTTCTCACGTTCATATTGATAGTGAACCAAAGCCTTGTCCCATCTATCATTTTCGCGAGCTTAATTGATGAGTCTTTTTTTTTTTCTTGTAAGGAAAACTATTATTATTTCGCATATTTGATGCGATTTGCCTCCATTTAGGAGGGAAAAACAAGAATCCAATGGAATGGGCTTAAGAGAAGTTTTATAATAATAATAATAATAATAATAATAATAATAATAACAATAATAATAATAACAACAATAATAATAACAACAATAATAATAATAACAATAATAATAATAACAATAACAATAACAACAATAACAATAACAACAACAACAACAATAATAATTGGCATGATGCCCCCACAATTTTTGCTCTCTCACACTTTCTCCCCTGATTATTTTCCTAGACTCTAAAGGTCTGTTTGTTTCATATACTCAAACTCAAATCATTAATTCTGCTACATTATTTTTCTCTCACAAAAAATTCAAACGTCAGAATCAAAAATTATGATCTGCGTATACCTTCTAAACGGGCCCTTAACTTATATGTATATAGAGAAATTATAACGTCACTTTTTATGTCACTCTTTTTGTCACATTCTGCATTCATTGTTTGACATGTGGACTCCGCTATCTCATTTTCGGTTTAAATAATCATGCTAGTGGATTTTACGTGTCAAACAGTGAATCCAAAAAGTGACAAAAAGAGTGACGTTAGCCTTTCTTATATATATATATATATATATATGTATATATATATATATATATGTACGCGCGCATGTACGTATTTGAAGAAATGTAGTTTTGCTTGCGTGATGACAGAGAGGGAAGCTAAGTCCAATCAGTAGAGAGGTTATATCTTATCATGCCTACGAAACAAAATGAGGTTTCCATGGTGGATTATAAAACATTGTCCTTGGTGTTGCATAATCATAAATTTTCAAATTACATTAAAATTATATTAAAAATGAAAAAGGTATATAAAATTAATGGAACTTGATGAAAATTTTATTTTATTTTATTTTTTGAAATTTTGGAATAACGCAAAATGGATGGGTTAAATGTTTTTTTTATATTTTATCATAGAATTCTCTAAATAAATGTCTAGGTTTGATGAGAGTTGATTCAAGAAACAATCATGAGTGACAAGAAAGCAACTACCTAATTAAGAGAATCTATGAATTGAGGATCAGTTTGATATTAGACTCAGTTTTCACACAGGCTAGCCAGTTGTAAAGCAAATGTGCAGAAATGATGAATTGTGAGGGAATGGATATCATGGCTGTTGAAACCCTAAGCCATTTACAGACATTTATTCGATATTAATTTCGTATTTTCTAGATATATAGATATGGACCATATTGTTATTATTAGATACGAAGTACACAACATAAAACTTATATAAACTAAATTAAATTGAATAGAACCTTTAGAGTCTCAAGCTAATATTTCAAAACCTCCTAATTTTGAAATCATTAATACAAACCTACTAATGAGAAGGCCAGCTTTAGAGCTTGTTTGATATGAGAGCTAATACGATTTGTAGAACGATTTAGCACTTTTCAGTATTTGTTGGGAGGAAAAAGAGAGGACAATAAATTGAGTAAGAGCTTTCAA